GAAACTAGGGAAATGGAAAAAATTTAATTGAGAATATGGCATGTTGGCCTCTCAATACCCATGCGTATTTAGTATTTTTTTTTAAAAAAAATTTCATAAACGATCGGACTATTACGATCATCGACGGTCAACTTCCGCCCTAGCTGGACTTCGGTCCTGGATTCGCCCCTGATTCCACCGGTGCTCTACTCCTTCAACATTCCCAGCAAAAACGAGTAGAAATGGAGGTAATGAACCCAATTCGTAGATTCTGTACCTCTTTTGAATTCTCATCTGATACTAGAGTTTTTCTGTGTACCCTTGAGCTCTCCATTTTTTCAAATCAATTGCCATCACGTCGGTGTTGACATAACATGGGTTACGGCCTTTGAATATTGTGAAAAATGCTAGACTTTTCTAGAATCTTGATGTGAAGTAATCGCTGAAATTAGCATGGCAATATTCGAGGGCACCTAAGACGCGGGAATTAAGGTTGATTTGCCAGAGTTTTGCAATGTCGTTAATGACTATGAGGTCGGAGTCAAGGTCGATAATGTAGATGACGACTGGGAGGATGAGGTCAGAGAAATTGGTGGTGGTGGTTGCCGAAGGTGGTTGTTGTGGTTGGGTGGGGTGGTTTTGATTTTGGGGAAGATGGAGATGGGGATAGGTTGTGGCTTTATTTATTATTATTTTTTTAATTTTTGACTTAATAGGGAAAATATTTTTTATTTAAAATGTCCCTGTTTTATTTGGAGAACATAATAAAGTTTTTTATTTTGGGAATCAACTAACGATTTTGATAGTCAAACTAATGGGAATCGTTATTTTGGATTGGAACTGCAAATTTTTTAAAGATTTGGTACTCACGTTGGCATAAATGAACAAATGAAAGGTTTGAGCAAACTTTGTTAATAAACGAAAGGTTTGGTACCGTGGCTGCAATTTTCCCGAAAATAAATCCAAAGTAAAATTTCCTATCCTTCTTCCTTTTTTTTCCTCCTTCCGTGGATCAAACTCAACATTATGATCATAAAGTACTGTATAACGCTAATAATACAAGTGCATTCAATCAAAAAAAAAAAAAAATATATATATATATATAGACTTCCAAATACCACTTTCCATAATCAAAATCAATGAAAAACAAG